ATCCTGCCGTATCAGAGTCATGACTTTCTACACCTAAACTTACAGTTCTGCTTTAATGTGAGTCTACATAGGCTAAAAATGTCACCCTAGGATGCACAGCACAAGCTGATGTGCCAATGCACAGCCTGCCAACAAAGGTCATGGCAAAGCCGAAATCAATATCACCAGGTAGGGAGGTATAGGTTTCCTGGAAAGAACTGTTTTCTGAAATGGAATAAGGGACATTGTGTGACGACCTTTACTCACCACCATATATCATCCATATGTCATATGATGTTCAGGATCTAATACAGTGTAACAGTGTGACATCATAGACTGATACATATAACATCTGATTACCATCAAAGCATGAAGCCTGAGCTGAACATAACAAAACCCGGGGGGGGGGGAATTAATCAAATACATAAATCTTATACAGGCAATGACAGCATAATAATTACCAGGGCCAATAACAATGCTACAGAATTCATGCAGCCCTGGGAGGGACACGATCATGAATTATCCATAGGCATGCTATTGTAACATATAGCGGAGCAAGCAATATTTTAAAATATTTATTCGCTAACTGTTTACTTTTACTTTATGCATTGAACAGGGCCATTCATATGCAGTGCACCCCTTCTGGTGATCCCAGGAGGGACAGGTACAGCATCCAGCCCCATTGCAGGCAGCCTGTCAAAGTCAATGGCAGACTGCAGCTGGACGGGGCTGAATGGTGTACTGAATGGTATCAGTGTTTACAGACCTGTCCATTCAGGAATGAGGTTCCACAATACAGAAGACCTGCATTCCAGGACTTCGTCCTTAAATGAACAGGACCCTAAGGGGATTATTTACTAAAGCTGGAGAGTCCAAAATCAGACTCCCTTCTGCATAGAAACCAGTCAGCTTCCAGGTTTCATTGCCAAAGCTTCATTGAACAAGCTGAGGTTAGAAGCTGATTGGTTTCTATGCAGAAGGGAGTCTGATTTTGGACTCTCCAGCTTTAGTAAATAAACCCCTAAATGTCTGCAGCCGGGCAGTCTTTGACCATCTCCAGTCTCTGACCATCTCCTGCAGCATGTCCCCAATGACATTATTTTCCTTACTCCTCTTTTCTGACCGTTTTTCACTAGTTTTGCATTTGGCTAGGGTCAGTGTCACTACTGGTGGTATGAGGCAATACCTGGACCCTACAGAAGTTGCACAGGCAGTCCAACTCTTCCAGAATAGCACATCAATATTTGCCATTGCCAGGTTTGCTGTGTCTCCCAGCACAGTCTCAAGAGCATGGAGGAGATTCCAGGAGACAGGCAGTTACTCTAGGAGAGCTGGAGAGGGTCATAGAAGGTCCTTAATCCATCAGCAGGACAGGTATCTGCTCCTTTGTGCAAGGAGGAACAGGATGAGCACTGCCAGAGCCCTTCAAAATAACCTCCAGCAGGCCACTGGTGTGAATGTCTCTGACCAAACAATCAGAAACAGATTTCATGAGGGTGGCTTGAGGCCCCTAAGTCCTCTAGTGGGCCCTGTGCTCACTGCCCGGCACCAGAGAGCTTGATTGGCATTTACCATTGAACACCAGAACTGGTAGGTCTGCCACTGGCGCCCTGTGCTTTTCACAGATGAGAGCAGGTTCACCCTGAGCACATGTGACAGACGTGAAATGGTCTGGAGAAGCCGTGGAGAACATTATACTGCCTGTAACACCGTTCAGCATGACCGTTTTGGTGGTGGGTCAGTGATGGTCTGGGGAGGCATATCCATGGAGGGATGCACAGACCTCTACAGGCTAGACAATGGCACCCTGACTGCCATTAGGTATTGGGATGAAATCCTTGGACCCATTGTCAGACCCTATGCTGGTGCAGTGGATCCTGGGTTCCTCCTGGTGCACAACAATGCCCAGATGAAGGATTATTATTATACAGTATTTATATAGCACCAACAGTTTGCTCAGCGCTTTACAAAATGATGAAGGAATCAATACCACTGAATGGCCCCCACGCTCGCCTGATCTAAATCCAATAGAACACCTCTGGGATATCATGTTTCGGTCCATAGGACACCATCCAGGTTGCACCTCAGACTGTCTAGGAGCTCAGTGATGCCCTCTTCCAGATCTGGGAAGAAATACCCCAGGACACCATCTGTGGTCTCATTAGGTGCATGCCCCGACATTTTCAGGCATGCATACAAGCACATGGGGGCCATACAAACTATTGAGTACCATTTTGAGTTGCTGTATTGAAATTTCAGCAAAATGGACTAGCCTGCTGCATCATTTTTTCACTTTGATTTTCGGGGTGTCTTTGAATTCAGTCCTCTGTAGGTTGATCATTTTCATTTCCATCAAACGATGGGGCATCCTTACATTCCTAACACATTGCCCAGTCCATATCAGTATATGTACCCAGCATGATATTTTACCCATTGAGATCTGATGTGTTTTCAAAATGTTACTTTAATTTTTTTGAGCAGTGTATTTAATATAAACGCTGACCGGACAACATTTAGTTTGCTAATGTATAATAAACAATTGCTGTATTTTTCCTAAAATATGCGTCTGATCTCTTCTAAACACTTCCTATCTACATGCACTCATTCCAGAATTGGCTTCCCAATAGTGACAACTTCAATGGTGGATCATGCCTGTGTAATGCGTGTCAGCAGAGGTACACTGACAGCGTGACCAAGCTACAGGCTTGCTGCAGAAAACTACAGAAGGGGGAGGAGACAAGACCAGTTACGCTGCACAAGGAGAGAAAGCAGCAGTGACTGGTCTTTATAACAGGAAGTTCCTGCACAAAGGGAAACTCTCACACTGGATTACTGCACAGATCTGGAAGAAATACACAAGGCTAACCGAGATTCAAGGTAGAACACACATGGAACTTATATTTAGATATTTTTAAGCCCTTATTTCAACTTCAAACCAGCTTTTAAAGTTCATTAATATGTTAACACTTATATGAGAATTTAGTGATTGGGTTATGATCATCTTTATAGGTGGAAATATCTTTATATCTTAATAGAGCACTTTTGTTTCTGTAACTTCAACTTGTCCATTAAGTATAGTTTCAATTCACCTAAGCTGCAAATGTACTTCACTTTACTAAGCTGTATAAATTATTGTTCGGGATTACTCGAAGATTCTGTGGATCTGGCCTTGGATTCCTAAATGGAAACACTGGACATTAACCTAGGTTAACCCAGGGCAGGTCTGTGTATAGCGATCTGCTATTTCTTCATAGATACAATTCTCTAAGGAGAGATAGGAACGTGTGGAAAGTAACAATGTTTTATATGGCTGCAGCAGGTGATGAGTCCCGGTTTTACAAGCGATCATTTCTTGCAGAAGCTGCAGAACACTCGCCAGTGGGTGGGGTCAGGCAGAGCTGCCGAGCACAGAGGGACAGATAGAGTTTGCGGTTCTTCTAAGTCTGCAGCTGTTTTATGAGGTCAATGGGAAAAAAAAAAAACACTTTATGTACAAAGACACAGATAGCGCTGACAACGGCATTCCCTCTGTGACTCTCAATCTTGATCTTGCCAGAGGTTTCACTACATAGACCAGTCAATCACATCTTCTGCAAAGCGTGATCCACATCTTACATTACCCAACCATTTTGAAGTATAAGCGACAATGACTTAAAGGTCTTGCTGGGTCATGTTGAAGCAGAGCTAAAGTCTACATTTGGCCATAGATGGATCGAAATTCATCCGGTTTAGCCTGGACCAGCCAGCTTTTGATCCATGTGTGTTCACGTCTGCTTAACAGATGATGATAGTTAAATTGACTGTTGATTGGGCTTGCCACTGATCATTGTAGAGAGCCCCACTGTCACAATACAATGTCCCAGCGGGGAAGATACCTCCATCCACCTTGATTGTGTGGATGGAAGAATCTGTATTTTTTTTGTTAAGCCTACTGACAGATCACAAAAAAAAAAGGAGTAATCTATGGCTAGCTTTAGAGCATACCCATGCAAAGTCTAAATCTGGCAATACTTTAGTAGAATTATAGTAAAAAATTTCATTAAAAAATTTTTAGTTTGATTTTCGAATGGGTTGGTGGGGTCAAATTGACATTTGTTTTTAACAGCAGTGATAAGAAAATCTAAAGGAGCAGAATGGGAAAATTTTTCTCAAACAAATTTCTAATGTGGTTTTTGTTCAGGAGAGTCCATTCACTCCAATGGATTTTCCTTGATTGTTAAAAGCAAACATTTTTTGAAGTGCTTTCAAACAATATTTGTCATGTTATCAAATGTACTGATGAGAACTCTGCATCCCTTAACTACCTCTTTTCCTCCAATCTTTTCCTTTTTGAAATAAATGGATTATTTGCAAAATTTATTGTTTCTTTTTTTGTTCATAAATCTTCTCACACTGTTTGTGCAAATTTTTGTAAAAAATGCTATTAAAATTTTTCTTCTGGTTCAGGGAAAAGTGTTTTGAATCTAGGACTTTGTTCTGTGAAAACATGGAGTTGTTTGTTTCATGGAACTTAACCTCCCTAGCGGTCTGATTATGTCCATATTTCTGTGCTCAAAGCGGTACATTTGTTTGCATGGAAATATGTTTTTTTTAATTGTAGTCCTGTAATTTTTAGGAATAACTCACTGAAATCTGTCCGAACAAGAGTCTAGTAAACATATGTTACAATTTGAAACAAAAAATCATAAATTATAATTTAATAATCATAAAAAATAATAATATAATAATAAATTTAATTCAATAATATAATCAAACCAAAAACACTGAAATTTGAAATATAGCGCCAAGTTCGCACATCACTGAGCAAAGTCGCAAAATCGTTTTCAGTGTCTGATGATGAATTTCCCCACGAATCATTATCACTCAATTCTGCAAGTGGTTCTAATTTACTATCGCTGTTCTCTAGCTGGTCTAAAACCGATTTTGACCTAAAGGGATGCTTTTTGGACGCCATGGACATTTCTCAGTTTCCAGGTACAGTAAAAATGCAGGCAGGGCACAGGACAAGCACTCGGGACAAAATGTATGTGAAATGGGTTGATACAGTAATGTTATACTATGTGATTTTAGTGTATTTAGTGAATGTCACTTTTTGTCATTTTCAAATTCCCCGCCGTTCCGTCCCCCGTACGTCCCGACGCTCGCAGGGGACGGAACCCAGAAGACAGATGCCGGGGACACTGCAGGGGGGACATCGCAGGAGCGCAGGACAAGGTAAGTGAAGAACAGACCCCGGAGCAGCACCGCATGGTAAGCCTGAGTGTAGCTCGGGGGTTACCACTTTTGGTACGGAAATTTTACCCCGAGCTACACTCGGGAATACCGCCAGGGGGGTTAAAGAGGATTTTTAGTCCCCCCCTTCCAAAAAAAAAAAACTGCAACTGCTGACTTTTAAAAAAAGGGGATCCAGCACTGCCCTCACCCAGGCAATTCTTTGCTGGTCTTTGTGTGACGCATGAGAGAGCCACGTTGTACTTTGTACATGGTCTCGCGGCCTCCTGGTACCTGTGACAGTGTGCCAGAAGGCTGTGGCCAAAAAAAGGGGGTTGAACTGTGGTTAGAGTGGGAGTGGGTACCTATCTAAACTTGGTACCCACTCCTGAAAAAAATTGTAGGGGAGGAGGTGGAAAAGCAGAATTTCCCCTTTTGGGGTTAAGTCCCGCTTTAAGCAAAGAGATCTAGCCAACAATCCCTGAGAGGAGGAAGAAATTATGGCAGTGGTTAATTTTGTAAGGGCAATTCACAATATATGCGAATGAATGTGAATGGGGAATGTGAACAGTGAATGGGGCTGAAATCCCAATACATTGTCGGGCAGTGCAGCACATTGCACTGCCTGACATTGCAGTGAATGAACTGTAGATTTTGTACACTTCAAATAAAGCTCATAGAAAACAAAAAAAAGGGGGAGCCATGTGATGTGCTGAATCACATACCACACTGCCCCCCCCCCCCCCCCCCAGCAACACACAGCGGCTGGATCTGTTAATTGGAACAGTGAGTTTGCCCATATAGCTTTATTTAGGAAATGTTGACACTATATGGCCGTTTGTAGACACTTGACCATCACACCTATATGAGCTTGCTGGACATCTTATAGGTATTAGGTATAGAGGTAAGTATTAAAACCTTCCCCCTCCAACACACACCCACACACAGCCTGGAAAGGCTTTCCACAATATTTTGAAGTGTGTGAGGTCAGGCACTGATGTTGGACAGCATCACCTTCATTCCAAAGGTGTCCAGTAGGTCAGAGCTCTGTGCAGACCACTGGAGTTCCTCCACACCAAACTCATTCAACTATGTTCTTCACTGGAAACACCTGAACACACTACTTTGGAGGGGTTTCCACATATTTCAGCCATATAGTAAGTGTGATGGTGAAGTGTCTATAGTTTTGGCCATGTAGGTAGATGAGATGGTCAAGTGTCCACAAACCTTTTAGCTGTGTAGTGTACATTCCAATATGACAGCCCTGCCACTTTTCTGTTGCTTGAAAACAAAAGTAGCACAAGCCAGAATTCCTGCCTACTATTTTATAAATCCAAAAAGGCCTCCCCTGTCTATAAAGGACAAGTCAATTGGCATAAAGTGGTGGAATTCTGTTTTATTGTACTTGTTAGGTAGATTTAGGACTCATGCTCGCCTACTTCTGTGTGCTGTGTTTACATAAAAACCCTTTTACGAAAATCCTGACTTTAAAGCAGATGCAATTTTCTGTCTTCATTTACCATTCATCTTGTGTTTTACCCATCGTACATGACACTGATACACTTTGTGGATTACAGGAGATCAACACAATTGGCTTATACTGGGATATCCTACATTCCATAGTACAAGCATCATCTGTGGTTTTGGATATACAGTGCTCAACATAAATGAGTACACCCCTTTTGAAAAGAAATATTTTAATCAAAATCTCAATGAACACAAGAACAATTTCCAAAATTTTGACAAAACTGAGTTTTATAAAACATTTGTTTAGCTCATTACATGAAAGTAAGGTTAATAATAGAACTTAGATTACAAAATCTTCAGTTTTACTCAAATTAGTTGATGCAAAAATGAATACACCCCACAACAAAAACTACTCCATCTAGTATTTTGTATGACCTCCATGATTTGTAAGGACAGCACCAAGTCTTCTAGGCATGGAATGAACAAGTTGGCGACATATTGCAACATCTATCTTTTTTCATTCTTCAAGAACGACCTCTTTTAGATCCTGGATACTGGATGGAGAGTGATGCTCAACTTGTCTCTTCATATATTCCCATAGGTGTTCTATTATGTTCAGATCAGGAGACATACTTGGCCACTGAATCACATTCACCCTGTTCTTCTACAGATGTGTGTTTTGGATCATTGTTATGTTGGAAAGGTGCACGACGTCCAAGGGCATGGAGTGATGGTAGCATCTTCTCCTTCAATATAGAACAGTACATCTGTGAATTTATGATACCATCAATGAAATGCAGATCCCCAACACCAGCAGCACCCATGCAGCCCCACAGAAGGACACTGCTGCCACCATGTTTCACTGTAGGAACCATGCATTTTTCTTTGTACTTCTCACCTTTGCAACGTCATACAGTTTTGAAGCCATCAGTTCCAAAAACATTTATCTTGGTTTCATCACCCCAGAGTACAGAGTCCCAGTAGTCTTTTTCAGCATGGGCCCTGGTGAATTCTAGGTGGGCTTTTTTGTGCATGGGCTTTAGGAGAGGCTTCCTTTGTGGACAACACCCATGAATGCCATTCATCTGCAGTGTACGCCTTATTGTGTCACGGGAAACAATCACCCCAGTTTGGCTTTCTACTTCTTTAGCTAACCGTAGTAAACTTGCATGGTGATTTTCTTCATCCCTTCTCATCAGGTCGAGGTGTTAAATTCCATGGATGGCCTGGATATCTCTATGAGATGGTTGCAGTTCCATCTTTGTTGATCACTTTTGCTACAGCATTCTTACTGATAAGTAAAGCTTTGCTGATCTTCTTGTAGCCTTCACCTTTCTTGTGTATAGAAATTATTTTCTTTCTCAGGCCTTGTGACATTTCTCTTCCATTTGGTGCCATTGCTGACAGCATGAAATGGAAAGGGGTTTTCTTTGTTAAGTCCTTTTATAATTAACAGTCTGCTGGACACCTGTTTAATGAATAATTAGACTCACCTGGAGTTTTCTTGTTAATTAGGAATTTGTTGTCTAAACTGTAGCTTTGCTCCTAAGACTTTCATTGGGGTGTATTCATTTTTGCAATATGGTCTTGAATACATTTTTTTGGAAACATACTTTTTTTGTGTGTGCAGATGAACAAATCTTGTTTGCAACCAATGGCCTGCATTTGTGGGAGTATTTTGTAGTATAGTGTCCCATGGAAACTGTTGATTCTGGAAGGAAAGTAAAGGTTTTCTAAACAAATCTGTTGAGGTGTACTCATTTATGCTGAGCACTGTACATGTGTGATAACAGTAACAGTTAGCAAGGATACTAATGTAATTAGGTACCTGAATATAAAATGTGTACTCAACACAAAAAGAAAACACTTCAGGTAGCAAAATGAAGTCGTACTCAGGAACCGAATATGTGATTATAAAAGGCTAACTCCATCCAAAGTTGTTATTTTGGTTTTCAGGGGATATTTATTTATTTTTTTTATTACAAGTACTTGTATAACACTGTCAATTTACGCAGCGCTTTACATATATATTGTACATTCACATCAGCCCCTAACCCTCAAGGGGTGTACAATCTAAGGTCCCTAACTCACATTCATACATACACATACTAGAGCCAATTTAGACAGGATCCAATTCACCTACCAGCATGTCTTTGGAGTGTGGGAGGAAACTGGAATACCCAGAGGAAACCCACGCAGGCACAGGGAGAACATGAAAACTCCAGGCAGGTGGTGCCATGGCTGAGATTTGAACCAACTGCCAGGCGGAAGTGCTAACCATTTAGCCACTGTGATCAGTGGTCCTTCCATTATATTCCTCACAGTAGGCTATGTCTGCAACTACCCCCTCCTGGTGATAAGAAGGTGTCAGTCTCTCGCAGCTGCACCCAATTTTTTAATTCATTATGGAATATCCTTTAAGACTAGGGGTTGACACCCTTAAGATCTGTGTCAGCCTCTTTTTGTCCTGGTGACCATTTTCCACCACAGGATAGCAAATTTAGGGAAATTTTTCTTACGTAATATAATGCTGGTTGTTTAACCTTCATATACTTACCTTCTACTGTATTCTTTACATAGCACTATCCTTACCATAGCTCCAACTGTCCCTCATTTAAAGTGACTTTGCCTCTTTTTAGCCCAAATCCCTCTTTTTCCCTCTTTTTGGTCTGATGTGTACATTTCTATACAAAATGTACTATTTACTACCAAAAGTGTTATACTGCACTACATTTTTATCCAACCTCCATAAAAATGCATTTGTTATTTTGGAGAAAAAAATGCCGGCTTTAGATATTCTTTGGATGGTTCTTCCTCTCTCGTTGCTTGAGGGAACTTCAGTCAGGCAGATCTAAATCTATGGTGAAAGTGAGAAAGTTCTTAAACTGACATTTTGATACAACAGACTTTCTTTGTGGTAGAAACAAGAAGTATAGCTACAGAGGGTGTGTCTGGAAATTCCACCAACTCTATATTACAAACAAGTAGGCCAAAGGGGTTTCCAGATTGCCAAGTTGCCGAAAAAAGTGCCCAGGGTACTCAATCGCAAGGCATAAGCAGGTAGGCTGTGGTATGCATTGTAAGGCCCATAATACACATAGCTTGAGCTATATTTGCATCTCAGATCAATTTATTGAGATAAATAGACAGAATAGAATATGTTTCAGGGGTTTGAGGCCTCTTCTTCCATGACCTATTATTATTTTTGGGGGAATGAAATGCTTTTCTGTTGAGCATTGGAAGCATGTTGCTTGAATGTAGATAATACCCATCACTGTACTCTGCATTATTATGCATCCGATGTGCATGTGGATAAGAAATAAACCTGCATGACATACCTAAACCTACCATCACCTATATCAGTGGAAAAACTATTTCTGTGTCTTTCCCTCAAGGCTCCAGGTCAGTGGAACTCCAACTCAAGCCCTAAAAATCTCAGAATCAAATCAATTTATGGTATTTGCTCTACAATGCATTGACCTTGCTTTGCAAGCAACAGACTGAACTGAATTCATATTTAGATTATTGTGACGGACTGCCTGACACTCTGACTGGGTATCTCCACCAAACTACAGCCTCATCCACCCTGGAACCAGAATATATCAAATTTACTCCAAGCATGAGACAGAATCAATGTTGGCGTAAAACAGGACTGACTT